CGGGGCAGGGTTCGCGGGCGGGGGCGGGGCGGCCGGCGGGCGGGCGGTGCGCGGCTCCCAGCCTCGAAGCCCCGGGGCAGGGCGGACCGGGAAGGTGCGGCTCTGGGCCGGCTGCCGGGGACTCAGAACGGCCTCGGCCAGGTGGGGATGGGGGGGCCCGGGAGTCGCCCACACAGCAAAGGCTGCGGGCGGGGCGGGAGCCGCCAGGATAGAGGGGAGACCAGGGCCCGCCCGAGCCGCCCCTCCGGCTGCGCCCCGCTCCGCAGCGCCCCCCACCCCGCCTGGACCAGGGCTGCGCCTTCCCACCTGCTTCCCTTCACCTCCAACTCAGCGGCTCTGGCAGCCCGAGGGAGCCCCCTAAAATGTAAACCTGATCCAGCTTCTCCAGAACTTACAACTCTGCCCTCTCTCCCTCTGGGTAAAATACTCCGTAATCAGGTTCACAGCCTTCTGCCCGATCACCACCCCCACCACCCCCACCCAAAAGAAACTTGCCCGCCTTTGCGGGGGCCGGGAACGCTTCCGGCCCCTCCCACCTAGTGGATCTTGGGGTCCACTGCCCTTAATCCGCTTGTTGACTTGAGTGTTTCCCCTTGAAGGGCGGCGGCGGTGGTGGTGGTGGTGGTGGTGATGAGGGGGGTTGGGGTGGGAAGGGGCCATATTCTAAACCTGACAAGCTCAGGAGGCCTGCAGGGCGGCCTCACAAACTCAGAAACGGAAAGTAACCGCATAGGATGGTCTGAAATGGAAACTTTCCAACTACAAAAGTTCATGGGAGTAGTCATGTCCTGGGGCAGTGTTTCTCCCTAACAAAGGTCAGTCTGCAATTGAACTGGGCTTGCCTGTTGTCTTCTTGCATCTACAATAACATACCTTCAGAATGTCAAGTTAATTTCCTTTTTTCCCCCCTGAGCTTCCCCCCACAGTGCACAACCACCCACTAAAGCAGAGACCACAGATCCCCTCATTGTTATTTTATCATATTAATTGTTGACTGTTGACTATCCTATACCCACAAATGTGAAAGTGTCTATTCCTTTTACTTTTTATCCAATCAGTCCCAGAGATTTCCCCACTTTGTTCTCTCCCGCCTCCTTAATCTATCACCAGTGAATTCCATCTAACTCCTGTATATCTTCCCCTTTGATAATGATGCATAAATAAGTGGTAAAACGGCCCTGGCCGGGTGGCTCAGTTAGTTGGAGCATCATCCTGTGCAAAGGTTTCACGTTTGATTCCCAGTTAGATCCCTGGTCAGGGCATGTACAGGAGGGCAACCTATCGATGTTTCTCTCTCCCTCTTTCTCTAAAAATCAGTAAATAATATGTCTTCGGATGAGAAATAAATAAGTGGCAAAACTGGAGAATCACAGTTTTGAGCATTTTCTCAATCCTTTGAGATTTTGCTACCCTGCGATTGTTAGTTTGGCTCAAATAAAATCATAAAAATTCTCTACGGGTTTGAATGTTTCTTACATTGACAAAACTCTGGGCATGCTGAGGTCCAAGTGGTCCCTAAATTCGAGGCAGTATCTCCAAGGCCCAGAATTCAACTGTCCAGTCCAATTCTGTTTACCATGTGCTTAAATTCCTAGAGGCTTAGCAGGAATTTCCATTTTAAGTTGTAATTTCAATACGTTCCACACCCAGCTCCCTGGGAGGCATGCTGAAAGGAGTAGATTAGCAGGATCTTGGGAAGACCTGGCGGAAGCTCAGCCTCCCGTCCCTGCTTATGCTGCAGACCCCTCTTTCAGAACCTGCGGGCACTGGGGACAGTCCAGCCAGCTGATGAAAACTTTATTTCCCACAGCAGAAGAAACAGACTTCTTTTATGCTCCAACTGGGAATAGAACCCACCACCTTCTGGTGTACTGGACGATAGACCATTGGGCCACACCGGCCAGGGTGAAACACTGAGATCCTAAGTGCTAGACGCTTCCACACCCATTAATTCGGGCCTCGGGAACCCACTTCCCCCATAAAGTAATTCATACGGACTTCCCCTCTTCATCACGAGGGCGTAGTATTATGAGTGCAGGCTCTGAAGCGGACTTCCTGAGGTCTGAGTCCCCGCTCCATCACTCATTAGCTGTGTGGTCTCAGGCAAATTACTTGACTCCTCTGTGCCTGTTTTCTCATCTGTAAAGGGATTTATCAAAAACTTGGATAGCTTTTACTATATTATACGCCTACCGCTGTTCTGTATGCTTTACACATTTTAATTCATGTAATTCTCATAGCAACCTTAGGAGGTTGAATTAGAATTATCTTCTTTTGGCAGATGGGGAAACGGAGACGCAGGCCTCCCCCAGGTCAGACGGCTGGTAGCTGGGCTGCCTGGTTCTAGTGTCTGTGCTCCTAACCACCCTACTGGCACCTACTTTGTAGGGTCGAACAGCATTAAATAAACATGTGTAAACCACTAAACGCAGTCCCTGGTACATAAGTGCTGTATTACTTTTAATTATGTTTGTGACTCTCCAGCTTATTCCTAGGGCAATCCCGCCACTCTCATGCTGTCCTTGGAGGTCCAGGAAGCTGCTCTGCACGCGGCACACGCTCAAGTGAATCTTCGGTCTCTCTCCGCCGCTCGGACCCGGGACTGTGACGCGTGCGACTGCGGGTCCCACGCCCCCGCTCACAAAGCGCCCACTTCGGACGCGCGCGCTCGGACCCGGGCGCCGCGCGAGGCATCGCGGGAGTCTCGCCGCCTGACGTCACCAGGGGGCGCCTGCGCTCGGTTCCGCTGGGAGCCTCCGGGTTCCGGCCATCTCCCCGCGGTCTGCTGCTTCCCGGGCGATCCCGCCTGCCCCCCACTCGCGGGGCCACCGTGGCTGGGCAGCCTCCCCTGCGCCTGCCGTGGAGGTCGGGCGGAGGAAGAGAGTCCCGGGGCTGAGCGGGAGCAGGGCGGGTGCACCGCCGGCCTCTGACCTGGGTGGCGTCGCCCCTGGCCTGGCCCAGAGCCGTGTGGACCCCGTGCTGCCCGGAGCCGAGGCGTGTGGACCCCGTGCTGCCCGGAGCCGAGCCGTGTGGACCCCGTGCTGCTCGGAGCCAGGCGTGTGGACCCCGTGCTGCCCGGAGCCGAGCCGTCCCCGACGACTCCCGCGAGTCAGCTCCTGGGCAGGCTCCTACCCCCGCAGGTGTCCTTCGCGCTATTTGTCACCTTTTGCACTTCCTAGGAAGTTCATTTCCTTCCTGGATTAGGTTGTGGGCTGCACTAGGATGAAACCTGAGTAGGCTTCCTGTTAAAGTTTGGTGTAAGCAAGAATTTTCTTACACGTGTATTTTTATTATTGTCTCTTAAAGGCAGCGGAAGAAGTTGATAACATGAGCTGGAGAAAGGGAGACGGGATGAAATTCTTTCTCTTTATCCGTTAGTCCGTTTTCAGGTATGACCTAAATTTTTTTAAATTAAATTTTATGAAGGCATGCATACAGCCCTAGAACCTTTTACAGAACAGAGTTTAAAACTTCTAATATTTGGTTTTGTAAGTAAAAAGTAACTTAGTAAGAGCCATAGTAAGTCTATGAATCACAAAATACCACAAATGTTCCTCCTTGCTCATGGGGAGAGGAAAGGTTTTGTCACCTACACATATCGTTTCTTGTGTTTCCTCCTCTTTTTGACACCAATGTTTCTCTGATCAGAGGTATTGGAGTTCAACAAGTAAAATCTCCAATAGTTGTTATTATGCTGTTATCTGCTAGGACTGGTGCTAACACTTTTTGTTGTTTGTGGTGGGTTTTTGGTGTGTTTTTTTGTATGGTTTTTTTAAAGAATAAAATTGAAACACTTGTTCAAGTCAGTTAACTTTTTTATCTAAAAGTTCACACACATGCCCTAGCTGGTTTGCTCAGTGGATAGAGCATCGGCCTGCGGACTGAAGGGTCCCGCTTCAGTTCCGGTCAAAGGCACATGCTGGGGTTGCAGGCTCGATCCCCAGTAGGGGGCGTGCAGGAGGCAGCTGATCAATGATTTTCATTGCTGTGTCTATCCCTCTCTCCCTCTCCTTTCCTCTGTCTGAAATCAATAAAAACATTTTTAAAAATAAAGTATACTAAGGTGAAGTATTATATCTGAAATTTAATTTCAAGTGTTCAGTAACAAAAATTTACATGCATAAAGCATACATAGTGGTATGTTAATTTCTAAAAGTAGGTGGTGTGTACTGGTGTTTTTTGTACTATTCTTTCCACTTTTCTGGGTGTTTTTCATAAGTTGAGGGAAAGCATACATCCTTGCCACAAGTCACCCATAGATGAAAGAAAAACGCCAGCTGACCCATGGCTGGACAGGCCTTGGCCCTCAAAGCATCTTCTCCAGTTAGGAGAGGTGGGTGGGAGAAGCTCCGGGTTAGTAGGCAGGCTGTCAGTGCTTCTTTGCCCCTGGTCTCCCCAGGCCTCTGTCCCCTTTGGAAAGTGAAGTTTTGGATTAGATTCAAATAGATCCAAAACGTTCCTTGGTACGTGTTTAGTTATCTATTGCTGCATAACAGATTACTCCAAATTAATAGCTTAAAACTGCCATTTTATGTCTATGGATTCTGTGGGTTAGGAATTCAGAAAAGTCACAGCAAAGACAGCTTGTCTCTACTCCATGATGCCTGGGGCTTCAGGACAACTCCAAGACTACGGAGACTTGATGCTGGGGGCTGGAAGCACTGGGAGGCCCACCTAGGTAGTCTATCTCAAGTGGCCTCCTATTTCTTGCATGGAGGCCTGTGGCTCTAAAGAACCAGGCAGAAGCTGTACAGCCTTAGAAGACGATGTGTGTCACTTCCACCGGAGTGCCAGACTAAGAGGGAGGAAACAAGACCGCACCTCTTGATGGCAAAAGCGTCAAACCCACAGTGTAAGAGCATACGGGTTGGGAGATTATCATTGAGTACGTTTTTTTAAATGTGTTGTAAATACTACCTTTCCACAACACTCGCCTGTTGTTCTAGAGCGGCTTGTCTCAGCTGGCTCCCAGATTGTGCCCTCTGAGCAAAGGGGCCCCCCTTCCTCAGCACTCTGTTCCTACTTGGCTACACTGAAAGACCTGCACTAGGGCTGGAGGGTGAGAATGGAAGTCTATGAACAGGGCTTGAACATGACTGAATTACTTGAAATTCTGGATGTGACTTGAACCTTTCTTCCCAAGGTTTTTAGATTTCCAAAATGTTAATTCCTGGACAGACTATTCTCATAGCTTCAATTATCAACTCCATGTGAACTCAGATCTTGAGACTATATCTTTTCTAAGCCCCAGTTAGGAATTTCCAGCTATTTACTGGCTATATTAATTCATATTATCATCTTAATTGGAATCTTATGTTCAAAACAGTTCAGCCTTCAGAACCCCCATCTTCCAATACTTCCACCAACCAGTAAGGATCAAAATCTTGCCAATCTGGCCCAGCCAATGTGTCTCAGTGGTTGAGTATCGACCCATGCACCAAGGTTGCTGGTTCAATTCTCAGTCAGGGTGCATGCCCAGGTTGCTGACTCAATCCCCAGTGCATACAGGAGGCAGCCGATCAATGTTTCTCTCCCTCTTCCTTTCTCTCTCTCTAAAAAAAAAAGAAAGATAAGAAAAAAAATAAAATCAATAAAAACATTTTTTAAAAAAAGAAGAGCCAGCCGGCATGGCTCAGAGTGTCAACCTATGAACCAGGAGGTCACAGTTTGATTCCCAGTCAGGGCACATGCCAGGGTTGCAGGCTCTATCTCCAGTAGAGGGAGTGCAGGAGGCAGCCAATCAATGAATGATTATCTCATCATTGATGTTTCTCACCCTCTCTGAAATCAATAAAAATGTTTTTAAATAAAATAAAGATAAATCCAGGACTGGAGTTGAAAGAAAAGACTTCAATGCAAGACTATTCCATAAATTATAAAAGTACAGATTTAATCATTTGATTTTAAAAATGGAACATATCTTACATAAGGGTTTTCTAAGTTAGAAATGTTATACCTATCTGGCACTACAGAAGATACACAACTCTTCCACAGTTCATAGAAGAGTAGATGGACAATTTTGATAAAGGATTGAGGAACAATTGAAAAACAGTTTACAAATAAGGAGGCATAAAATGCTTCAAGAGGCACGGTCCTCAGAAATTGTCCTGGAATGCAGTTTCATTTGTATCAATGTCATGTTCCTGGATGAGGGAATAAGACATATATTTTAGTATTTCAGGGCAAAGTCTGAAATGTGATCTTTAGTGTTTTGGACTTTGATTAAAGATTCTGAAACATCTTAATTGGGACACATACCAGTAGGTTATCTCTGGCTTTAAACCCAAGAGTCAAGTTTTCACTACCAGGACAGGGCTTTTGACCACTGCCCATCACCCACCATGATAAGTAGGGAGCAAATACCATTGAAGGCGCTGATGCTAAGACCCATCAGAGTTGGCCTTGGGGCCTGTCCCTGCCTTGCCACCAGGGTAAGTACTGTTGGGAATCTACCTGAGCCCCCATCCCACATTTCAGTGCTGAGCAGCTATATCAGCAACTCACCTCTGGATGCCATTTATTTCAGAGCATTGTAAATGCCCACATATTCCCATCTGCCCCACTACACTGGTCAGAGACAGCAAGGACTGCATTCATCCTGCTCTCTGACAGCCCCAACATCCAGCACTATGCCTGGCACATGTGAGGCGTGCAGTATGAGTACCCAGCAGTGCCAGCCACTGCCACTAAAGGCTCAGACCCTGACTAGTCTTTCCACTCGGCATCTAAATTCCTAACTATATATATGGAGAAAAACAGACTCTCTATACTGCTTTATAGCCCTCCCCCACCCCATTTACTGGATCATGAATGTCTCCCTAAGTCCTAACACTCTTCAAACATTTTAAATCTTATGGATCACCCTAGGAACAACCTACTAATAATGATTTTTATTCTTGCCCACTGATTATTTTATTCTATTAAAACAGTGCTGTGCCCTGGCCAGTGTGGTTGAGCATCATTCCGTGCACCGAGAGGTTGCTGGTTCAATTCCAGGCAGGGCATATGTCTAGGTTTCGGGCTCCATTTCTGGCAGGGGGTGAGCAGGAGGCAGCCAATTAATGTTCTGCTCTCACATCAATGTTTCTCTTTCTCCCTCTCCCTTCCTCTCTTTCTCTCAAAATCAATAAAAATATATATTTTTTACATTAAGTGCTGCTGAGCTGAGAATCCAGGTGTAAATCTATATATATTCAAGATTATTAAGACAAATTCTGAGGATCAGAATTGCTGGGTCAAAAGTATATACATTTTTAGGGCTTTTGAATGATATTATAAAAAATACCTCAAGAAAAGTGGGACCAATTTATTCTTCCAGCAATAGTGTCTGAATGCCCACTTAACAACAGTGGTTGGCATTTAATGTTAGAAATCCTGTCAAGGTATAAAAATGAAGGCCAGCTATAATTTCAAAGTCTTGGTCCTTCGTCCAGAGACAGATGGTTTCCAACATAAAGTGCTGACCTCACGTCCTGCTCTATCCTTTGCTCAGTTCTCTCTAGCCACACTGGCACCACCACTGTTCCTCACACCTGCCAGGCAAAGCCCAGCCATAGGGAGTTTGCACAGGTCTTCCCTCTGCCTGGGACTCTCATCCCCCGCTATCTGCCTGGCTAAATCCTTCAACACTTTCACGTCTTTGCGTTGTGGTAAGACCTACCCCAGCCGCCCTATCTAATACTGCCACGTTCAGCCCACTGATCCCCTTACGCTGCTCTGCTTTTTTAATAGCATAGCACTTATCTAGCATAATATGTGATGTACTGGGATTATGTTCACTTAGTAGTTACTTAATACTTGCAGAATGAATGAATGGCATAAAACTCAGTTTATGGATGATACCAACACTCGAAGGACTTCCACATTAGTGGGCCTTCTAGACTCATACCTGGTTCAATTTCTTGAACTCTACCACTTGGAAGAAGATGTGCTCAAGGATATGTTTGGCATCTTGTTGGTCCTTTGGTAGTTTATTGGTTACTCCAAGAATGTCACCACATTTCCTGACATAGAATTCCAGGTCTTCTTCAGTACCTAAGCACAGTTGGAGCAGTTAGATTAACCCTCACCTTCTGCCCCTCCCCAAGTACAAACTTATTGTGATTTAGATACCCCTGTCAGGTTCCTACATCTCTCAAGATCACTCACCTCTTCCTTGGGTAACGTGACCACAGGACACACTGTAAAGGTCTCTGATGCGCTGCTTTTATAAATTAGGACAAAAGTACGACACTCCTAACTAGAACAAAGCTGGACTGGCTCTGGCTCTCCTGTCCCCAGCTCCAGCATTCCGACATTACAAAGAACAGCAACCAGTAGGAGATCAAATTACCATTCTCTGAATGAGCAAGGACCATTATGAGAAGGGCACATAGGTATTTTAAATAGCATTTATTATACAATATTATTGAAAAGGAATTAAGTGGAAATTAAAGAGGAAAAAAAATCACCCATAATTCCATCATCAGCATATGTCTGTGAAATCATCCCAGCAGCCTCATATTCAAGATGGAAAGCCATTACTGCCCTCCTTACACTGTAATTTCTTTTTATCCCCTGTGACTTCTTTTTTTAAACGTTATGATTGAAATCTAATTTTTTAAATTAAAGTATTCAAACCATACAGCTCTTGTACTACCTCTATCCCCACCAATACTACCTAGGGTAATTTTATGCCTATATATTTACATATGTATAAAAATGGGATCAAACTATAATAGCTCTGTAAGTTGCCTTCATCACTTAACCATGTAATATGGAATTCCATGTCAAAGCTTACATCTTTCTTTTAACAGATGTATAATATTCTATTTTTTTCATATTTTTTTAACCAATCCCCCTACTGAAGGCCCAGTAGACTGTTGCCAATTTTTTGAATGCTACAATTAATATCTCTATAGCTATAGCTTTTTCGTTTTGCGATTCTACAAGGGTTTCTATAGGATAAATTGCTAGAATTGGAAATGCTGGGTCATATCATTATTACTGGTCTATTATTACTACTGGACTAACCACTATGTCTTGCTAATTTTTGATTGCCCAGCACCTACCCACAGTGCCTGGTGCAGAACAGAGATGCAGAACAATTTTCATGTTTGCATACTCCTTTCTAGTCTCTGGGGACATACAGTTGTTGTTCACATCGTTGGGATTCTACTGGACATGTGGTTTTCTATTTTGCTTTCTTAATTTAGGATTCTCACTTAAATTCTATCAGTGTCACTCCCTGGCCTTTATAAACTTCTTTTATAGTGACTGCATATTGTCCCATCGATTGAATGTAGCACAATTTACTACCATTCCCCTGCTAGTGAACACTACAATCATTCCCAACTGTATTTTATTTTTAATGTAATGTAGTAGTCATCTGTATACCTTCATTTATCTCCTGAAAGTCCCAGGAGTGGGGTCTCTGCCTCCAAATGGTTAAGTTGATCCTCTCGGCACATGTGTGCAGGCGCATTTCTGTCCTGGAGGCTGTGCATGTCAGGGGGAGCACTGGACTGAGAGTCAGGAGTAAGGACTCACCGTGCAGCTGTGTGGACTGGGGTCTCATTTCCTCACCCACATGTAAGGTGGGCGTGCTCGATTCTCTTTAGGATC